TTAAGATTGCGGGCAATCCAATGAAGATAACTTCTAATTCAGAATAGAAACAAAAGAAACTTACACTGGTCAAGGACTTTTGTTATTTTGACTCTGTTTTTGAACTCTAAATGTACATCATCCAAAAAGCCATGTTGCAGCATGTCACTGAATATTTGAAAACGATGTTCAATAGCTTTGGATCTATCTTCAACCGGTCTCATGTAGTCAGGATGATATTTATCACGGAACCTACAAATAAATAAGAAGTGCTCGACTTTAAGACACACTAATAAACATATGGTTTAAGCAACAAAAATTCTTCCATGTCATTGTAGGCGATGAGAACTACTAATACCACGGACAAGTATCGGGTATAAGTTTTAAAAGCTAATAAAAGCATATCAGTGGGTTTGTGGTAGAATCAAAAGGAGTAAATGAGGAAGAATGCTTGGTCTGCTATAATGAGCACGGCTTTGTTTGTGCTGTTCACAACAAAAAGGCATAAATGCAAACCGCAATGGTGCGGTTTCAATAGCGTTACCCCTTAACCCATATTTTGACTGCTCTCTATTAGCTGAGAACCAATACAAGACAACAAGAAGGATCCATATATGGAAGCAAATTTCATATCTAAATATCGTTCAGCAGAAACCAAACTACACATGCAGGCGGGTGGATGATCAGTGACACAACTTACCATGCACTCTTTTTGTGCCTCTCGAATTGATCAGACAATTGTTCTTTGATAAAACTGGCGACATATGAACTATATTTCTCGCCAGCATCATTATCGCTAAGGATGGATTTATCAAAGGGTTCCAAGAATTTCTCCAAAGACATCATCTTCGGAGCAAACGAAGGCTGCAGAAAAGTTGTTGCTTCATCTTGTTGAATTTTCTGCAATGAAACTGCACCATTTTCGGTTTTTCCAACCTCTTGGGGACTTGCGGCCTCACTCCCGGAGATATCAGGCATGACAAAAAGTGAGGGAGTCTAGAGCCCAAACCCTAAAAACGTCTGTGGCGCAACCGAAACCCCAATTATTATAAACGGAAAGGTACGAACGCGGAGGCCAAGGTTCATGGTCGGTGGGTGCGCAGTTTATGAGGTAGACTCTGGTATATACAATTATCTTTCATTAAGTTATTCTAATATCTGACATTCGAAATAGCAATAGACAAAAAAATGTAAATTTTAGAAAAGCAATATTATGCGAAGTGGGTAAGCAAAACGAACTACAGCTTTTTTGACATTAAAAGTCGAAGAATTCTCTAATCGAAATGCTGTAAACGAGGCGGAGGTGTTACATTGAAACACAAGATTGCTAGGTAACAACAGAACCAAGCTAGCAAGTAATCCAGTGACATTGCTTAAATTGACCTGACACTTTAAGCCCGCCAAATCACCTGGGCCAGATAAAATTCCTGCACTCACATTAAGAGAACTGGCTCTCGAGCTGTGCAAACCTTTATCTGTCATCTTCCAAAGGTATTTCGAAGAAGGCGAACTCAAGGAAGAATGGAGATGTGCATTTATCACGCCGATATATAAGGTAGGTTCACGACTTGTTTGCGCAAATTACCGTCCTGTAAGCCTAACTTGCATCGCGTGCAAAATAACGGAGCGCATTATCAGGAGGCATCTTATGGGATTCCTGGAAAGCAACAAAATATTATGTGATGGTCAGCGCGGCTTTCATCCAGGACGCTCTTGCCTCACGAGTGCTCTTTACTCGCATGAGAAGTGAATAAAGGCCACAGATAAGGGCTACCCTATTGATGTCATATTTTTCGACTTCAAGAAGACCTACGATAGTGTACTATATAGGCTTCTTCTACAGTAGATTTGGGACGTGGGGATTTAAGGAAAAAATGTTTAAGTGGATCAGCAGCTTCTTCTCCCTCAGAGAACAGTAGTTCGTTGTTGGAAACACAACCTCGGAATGGACAAAGGTAGCAAGTGTTGTACCACAGGGCTCAGTTTTGGGTCCGTTACTCTTCTTAATCTACGTAAACGACTGCCGCAATGCCCTTGATTGCGCAGCTGTCATGTTTGCAAATGACATAAAAATATAGTCTGAAGTTATTTGCCCTGACGACGCAAGGTTACAATCAAACATCGATTAACTGATAATCTGATCGTCCACGTGGCCACTTAGCTTTATTGTATCCACGTGTCTGGCCCTACACATAAGCCCGGGTCGAAAAGTGTCGCAAAAACATAGCTATTTTATCAGCGGGCCGCATTAAAAGAGGCTGTTGCGCACAAATATCTAGGCATATGGACAATCGCGAACTTTATGCCAACAGAGCATTGTAAAAAGGACGTCCAGAAGGCAACTAGTACGCTGCACTGGATAAGATGGGCATTCAAAATCTTCCCCCCTGAACTCGTCGGAAAAATATTTGGCGTCTTTGTGAGACCACATCTTGACGACAGAATGCCAGTTTGGACACCGTGGTTGAAAAAAGATGTGGGTCTTCTCGAGAAAGTGCAAAGGAGTGCAGCAAAGATGGTCGATGATCTCAGGGGCTAACCGTATCAGTAAAGATTGATCAAGCTTGACCCTTTGTCCCTTGTCTTACAGGCACGTACAGTGCAGCCTGCTCTGGACGTTACAGATTATCTGGGAAACGGTTCCTCCCTCAAATTGAAGGACATCTTTGAGTTAGCCAACACGACTCACCTTCGCGGCGATCCTTACAAGGACAAAAATGAATGCACTCGATTGTACCTCAGGAATTTTCCTTCAGCTAGCGAATGGTACGAATTTGGAACTTTCTACCAAGCGAGACGGTTTCCTCTGACACCATTGCTGATTTTAAAGGAAGACTTGATGCCATTTTATTTGACAAATGGGACTATCATAACACGATTTTTTACTGTCAGCACTGTAAATCATTTATCTGTCTCTGGACGCTTTTATACTCTTTCGTACTGTTCCGTGACACCTCATTCGAATGTATGTCATGCTATTACTTCTTGCTACAACTTCATACTGACTGTAACAATTATATGGTTAACTTTAAATTAGTAGGGTCCTCAAGGGTATTCCTTACCTGTAACCCTTCATATATACATACATAAACATTGGCTTCGAGTAGTATTTTCAACCTGGACAATTAACTAAACACGTCAAATTGACAAAAACAATCGCAAAAATACTTGCAAGTGGGTATCGCTGAACCAGAGCTTTCGGCATTAAAGCAAGTACTTATCGGTTCTGCGAGATGTTTAACATAATTGGCAAACAAACTGGACAAATAACATGCGTATATCTTTCATTTTTCATGTGTTCTGTTGGTCTGAACAGTGGAAATAAGACGTCGGAGGACTAATAGCGGCATGAGCGGCAACATGAAAGGGAATAAGCGGTAGAGGAAGCAGATCTGATGCTGGAGGAAGTAGGGAATGCTGCTGTTGAAATTGATTTAAAGCTATTATTGGTCGCTACATACATCACTTGGAGCGTCTAATAAGGCTCTGTTGTTAAATTGCTTATGGGAAGTGTCTGACGGGACCGTGATTAAGGGAGAATGGGAAGACGGGGTAATACAATGGCTTGGGATTGTGTGGTAACTAGTTTTATTTGTACTGCCAGACAAATGTGCTTTAATAATAAAAAATAAATTTTATATTTTAGGCCCGGAGGTGAGGAAGAAGAAGCAGAAGAAGAAGAAGAAGAAGAAGAAGAAGAAGAAGAAGGTGAAGATAATATGGGTAAGGCCTTTTCGTGAGGTCGCCTAAAATATAGCCCCCCGCCCAAGTGCCTTGAGGATTTCCTGATTAAAGATGACGTGCTTGATTATTGAACAGTTAATGCGAGTATAATGCGCGGCAAGTGCACATTAGAAAACAAATTAAAGTCGCCTGTAAATGTTTAGTTAACTAAACTGTAGGTGGGAAGAAAGCGAAAATACCAACAAAAGAACTATTAGAGCAAACCTGTTGGTTAATACAGGAAGTATCTACAGCTAGAAATTTATTAGAGGGACTCCTTTTACCATTAGGCCGCCTATTGGTTAATGGAAGAAGCCTTTAGACCAAGAAAACTAGTAGGCAGCCTAACAGGAAGGTCCTGCGATAAGAACGTTCTTAGGAGGAAAGAAATGGGAAAAAATTAAGCCTACCTTAAAGGCCCCCGAATAGATCACATTGGGAAGCATGATCAGGAGGCTGAATAGTCAACGTCAAAGAAAAACGAAAATGGATTAGTAAGATCTGCGAACAATTAGGAGCCTGTAACCTGGGCTAAAGGATAGCCTTAAATTTACGGGTAGAGTACTCTATGAATAGCTATGTCAGGCATGAAGGTCAGCGACGGACGCTGCGAAGATACGCAACTCTCCGATAAGCACCGGTACTGCTATCGGCATGCTCGGAACCGGGAGGTCTTCTACCATCTATGTTAAGTGGTAGAGTCACGTTAATGGGAGTTGGCTGCTGATCTGGGCGGGTAGACGTTCAAAAACCTCACTGGTCCAGGACTGAATGCGTCAGCTGTATTTTCATCCCATCGGGATCAATGTTGGGAGACATTGTATGTCGAATCCCAATTACGCACTGCAGCTCGCCTCCTGCGCGCACAACACTGAATAAAGCCTCTCCGGTGCCAATCCCGGAAACTTCAGTGCTAGTGGAGAGCCAGAGCAGGTAAGCAGATACTGATGGTATTTGGAAAACAGCCGTAGATAGGGCGAGCACTGTGGAAAAGACAATGTAGCTGAGCCAGTCTGCGAATATGCTAACCTCTATTGTAGAAATAAACCAAGGTCAGCTGTATTTTTTACTTGTACACTTTGTTGCTTACTTCAACCCCGACTATAGAAGTCTCCGTTCCCTAAATTTGTTCCAACTTATGCCTTAACAGGAATTGGTGCGCCCCTTAAATTCACCCGGTGTCGTTGAATACTGTCAACGTAAAGGGTTGTAGCCATCTTGCCTCTAGTGTGTCTGCGGCTCGCGTTCCCACCGATTTTTCCTTTTCTGCCACGAGAAAAATGGGAAATGGGTGGAAACTCGGGCTAATTAAATATTGGGATTAGTGTTTTCATTAGTAATTGAAGTCTACCTACCACTAAACTCCTGGTGTTTCCTTGGTATTTTGCTGACTTCTTCACCTAAACCGCCCTCCTAGCGTTTAAATAAGGCAAAACAAGAGGAGGGTTATATTCGCGCTGAAAACTACGGTTATAAAAATCGTCTGATTTTCGAGCGACATGCCCATAGCGAGGCACTATTATTTTGCACTCGAGGATAATGCACCGTTAAAGGTCAGAGGGTGAAGCTTGACTTGCTGCAAATACGGAACTTTAATTTATAAAGTAAACTACTATTCTTATGAGACGACAGCCTTGCCTTCGCAGAGTTTGTAGACGATGTTGGTGCCAGTGAACACGAGCAGGAGTTCATTCCTTTCATGAGTGGTACCATCGACGAAAACGGAGGTGGCTCCTTTCATTGCATCATCTGTGCCTAAAATACCTACTCCAAATTGTGCTGTAGACAGAACCTTCTAAAAAACTGTAAAATGACAGTGACCTAGGCCATTTTAAGAAATGGCGCAACCAAAGCCCCCCTAATTTCGTGGCAGTGTACAATCAACGATGTTCATCACGTTTCCAGTGAAAAAGCATCAGTCCAAGGTCCTTCTATGAGCTAAGTAGAATACTTCTGGAGCACACATCAAGATAATCGCTCCCATGAAGGCCAAACAATGTGCAGGTCTGAAATTATTATATGGAGCCCTGCACAGTCACCTACAGACTCCATTCATTAACGGTTGTAAGTGTAGTCTTTTTCTTCCGTTTTGCCTTTGGAATTAAGGAATTTATATTTTTCAGCGCCGTGGCTGTGGCATTTAAGGGTGCATTATCTTCGAGTGCAAACTACTAGTGCTTCTCTATAAGCATTCACTTAAAAAATCATTCACACTGTTCATGCTGCCCTCATGGCTTCACGAGTGATACTTAGCTCGAATTGTATGAGATTGCCAAGCTCTCCACAAAAGTCTCCTAATGACGCTTGAAAGGGAGGCCTTAATTTCATCTTTCGATACCTCGGCCAGTAGTCCGGACTTACTTTTTTAATCAGTATTTTTGACGGAAAGGGTGATTCTCTCAATCAGAAGCTTTTCGGACTAGTTGAGCAGACACATAGCGACTGTATTTTATAACCACTGCAGTTCATTATGCTTGAATTATCCGTAGCTGATGATCTTTCCGAAAATGACTGCCATACGTGAGGAAAATAACATAACTGCCTCAAGCATTACGGCTACATCTTTTCGATTATTTCTAGAGACTCGCACTTCCATTTAAAAGGATAAACATACGTGCAATTGCATGTGAAATCACATACCTCAACCATGTATAACTTTACGGTTTCAGATTGTTTTTAGATTAGTTAGAAACATTTCTGACTGCTTTCAATAACAAACCGAAATTCGTTCCCGCGCTCAGATAGGAACTAACTTAGTAGGTTACACGAACGTGGATGGCTCAAACGGGGTATATTTCGGTACGGAATGGATATAACCCATAAAAGCACAATACATCCCTGTTAAAATAATGTCATACCATCTACGCAAAATACGTTCCAAACACACAACAATCTGGAAACACAGAACCGATTCCAGCCTGCCTTGTTAGCGCCGAGTCAATTCAAGGTTTTCACCATCCAGATTTTTGTTTGATTAACGCAAAACTCTGTGAAGCCTCGACACATTCTTACTGCTCCCTAACCCTTCTTGCCCATTCTCATGGTGAGGACTGTCTGATATGCGCTCCTTCGAGTCCGAAGGATGCACACGAATTCAGAAACCAGCCAATCAAACAGAAGAGCCAACAGATGAAACAGACATTTCCACATCTTTCGAAAATTTCTTTATTATGAGCCCAGGAATCCCCCTCGGTTCAGGAAACTCTCGCGGTTTCATTTGACTGAGCATCTGTCTTATTTCTTCCACAGAAGAGGCAATGACGGCTGTATTTTTGGTAGTGCCATCTTCTTAACACACCAGTGCTTTTTTATAATTTCACCTGAAAATCACTCGAGTCAGATCTGACTTACGGCAACGAGTTGAGGCCTAACGTACGGCCAACATTGCCAGAATTTCGCACGGGAAAAGGTTGATGAGCAAGGCTTAATTATTAGGGAATACGCTTTCAATGCACCTCTCTCTCGTGTTTTGTGCACACGGGGTTGTAAACTGAATAACTGACTAACTGTCACCGACCTACATTTACTAGCATATATTTTAGGCTCAGCTGAGTAAACCACATGATTCACCCGTACTAATGCCAACCGCCCTCGAACAAAATGAACTCCTGATCGCGCTCGGTTGCGCAACCTACGTCTCGAGCCCCTGTGAACTAAAAGCAGTTATTCCGGAGGAACTCCTTTAATTAAGAAAATCAAATACAGCCTAGACAATAAGCCAACATTCACGTTGATGCTGCCTTCATGGTTTCAGAAATGATGCCCAGCTAAAAGTATACTTGAGTCTTCCGTTAACCGTATCGACGTGTGCGTTGGATATATTTAAGCACGACACCCATAAAATGCCCCCTCGCTATTCATGCAGCTCTGTAGCAGTGACGGGGGGAGAATGCAAACCTGCCCTGTACGTTAAATCGGATGAGGAGTCTGCCTTGGTCACTGGGATTTTGGGTGTCAACCTTGGCCCGACGCATTCAAAATAAAAACAAAAAGTTTCTGTTAAGTAACACTACACATCTGTTTCGAATAAGATAGGACACTTTCCAAGTCAGTTCTTTAGTAGAGAACTACGGCCGAAGGCCCCTAACAACGCCCCTTTCAAGAGCCTCAAGTTCTGTCACCGAATCACGATCTTAGCACTGGTTGATTTCTCCTGATTTTCGAGCTCCACTTGGCTCATTAGCTAGTCTTCGTTGCCAATAACCGAGCTATAATTTCCGACCTACTTTACAAAGATGGAATTTAGATCAAATCGTCATATCCTACCTATTCCACTGAAATTTCTGACGGGAAGTTTTCATTTTTCGATTTTCCTTCTGTCACCTACAATGACATAAGGAAATAAAGATTAACAGACTTTCCCACTTGTTGGTTAGCTTTAATTGGATGACAAAAGCGACAACAACACTAATTACGCCTATAGGTCAATGCTTCATAAAAATTATTATAGCTGTTTTGTAAAAGTAACCTTTGTTAACGATTTGAAGAATAAAATAAAACTAAAAATAATTTCAAATTTCTAAATGTTTTCCGGTAGCACCTATAATCGATACTAAATTTTATGATTGCTAAGGAATTTTATGTAGATTACAGGCAAAATAATTGTTTTTTATTTGTTATTAGTAGTAGCAGTAGTATATATTATAGCTTGTCTAGCATCGTATGTTTCATACCTGGTTCAGTTCTGTGTCAAGCTTGACAACTAGGCGTCTTCGGTATTCGCTGTTGAATGATGACGGTGCTTTGCAAAGAGTTCTTAGCTGCCTCGACTGCCCTCAAAGACAGCTACAGCGTTTTTCAGTCTACAACCAATCAAAAATCCATAATTGATAGACTTTTTCTAGACCTGAAATATTCTTACTTCAAAACCTTTAACGTCTATGCTGCACTAATATTATTTTCCATTTTTGATATTATTGTACACTTGTAGACAACTTTTTTCACTTCGAACAAACTCCCTATGTTTCACCCTATCGACTAAGCATAAAACTAGAACAAAGCCAATAATGACTGCAAAAGAAGGGGTTTGGTTTAGGTTTGCTCCTTTTTTTCTAATTGTTTTGACGGTGTCCATAAGGTGCCTTACCAAGAAAGATTATTGACGCAGACTAATAAGTGAGACAAATCTATGACAATATAATTGTGTGATATGCGCATTTCAGTCGAAGTAGTCCATCTCGTTGATTTTTACCTTCGAATAATTAAAAGATTACTTTTGTTAGTTTGGGCTTCAATTAATATGCCTAGGTGGCTCTCTAGAATGAATACTGCTGGGCCTGCTCAGAACTAGTAGAATTTGCTTGCAGAATTTCTAACTTTGTCCGTTTTATGGTACATTAAGAATTTACAGATCCAGTGATGGTCGAAGGAAGAAAAGTCTTCCGATTGACATTATCATATATATCAGCATGTGCAGTCTAACTGAGGGCATAACTCCGTCCTCAGGGAATTATTTTGAATACAGTGAATGACAGAGAGTCGGCTTGTTATGTTTGCCTCTTAATTTTAACCTTACGGCCCGCTCAAGCATCTGTGATCATAGTTGTCCTAAAGGAGGGCCACATTTTCAAACCAAATTTCACAAATATAAATTGAAATAATTCCGTGTTTAAAATGGTGCCCCGCAGAGAGAAAAATACGTTATAGGAAAGGGAACTTACTACTACTACTACTACTACTACTACT